GCTGAAGGCACTACTTTGATGCCAGTCTTTCAGCTAGGCATCAGGGTCCCCACACCCGCTTGGCTCTACCCTGGGAAGGAAGCACATGGGAGTAGTGTCTTTCTCCTCACTTGGGATAATCTTGCATGTTGATATTTTTTAAGATAAAGGTTGGAGTGAAGCAAGCAGCTGATTTAAAGGCTATGGACAGTGGGGGGACCTCTGACCCATATGTAATTGTCTACCTAACAACTGATATCAAGAAGAAGTATGAAACCAAAGTTTACCGCAAGACGTTAAATCCTGTCTTCAATGAAAGCTTCACCTTCCAGGTAAGAAATGCTGCCAACCATAAGATAGACATTCCTGTTCAATATACCACTGGTCATCACAGATCAGGCAGTTTGGGCTCATCCTGCATGGTGCAGGTCTGGAGTGTGGCATGGAGGTAAGCAAAGGCAAATGCAGTGAGAAGTAGGAGGACCTGATCTTGAATTAGTGAGCTTGACTCTTGCACATCCAGCAACTGTCTTCTACTTTGGAGCTGAGGAAAGGCCAAAGGGGGTGCGGGGAGGAGGAGACAAAAGGTCTGTGTCCTTTCTCTTCGCTAGGGACTCTTAAAATGAAGGAAACAGGCATGGAAAGGATCTTAGACTGCAGTCCAACCTGCTTATGCCTTTTCCTATGTGAAGACTGGATTTGTGCTTTTCCTGGAGCCCAGGGACTTTGTTCTCCATGTAGTACACCATGGACACATTGGCAGGATCAAAGTCTTCTCTTGGCCAAACACTGTTGTGCCAGACTAAATTCTTTCAGTTGAGTCAGTGAGGAAAAGGGGAGTAACAAAGGGTGAGATGTCCCTCCAGCAAAAGATTACAGAAACAAAGTGCTCATCATTAGGGTTGACTTCCAGGGGAAGGGTGAGGACCAGTAGAACAGTATGTTGGAAATCCTGATGCTGAGCTCCTTTCACTCTGGCAGAAGGCAGAGCACCTTCAAGACTACCTGGCTGATTCTGCCCAGGCTGGGGTATGCATTCAATGCAGGAGCAGAGGAGCAGCTGCGATGTGAGGGAGGCTCTATTATAATGGCATTGCTTCAAACTCACGAGACCAGGCTGTACTAGAAGAGCATAGTGGGAACACTGTTATACACTACTTCAATTTTTTTTCTTGTCTTCCCTTACAGATTCCTCAGGCTGAAATGTCTGAGTCCACCCTGGTGATGCAGGTGTATGACTTCAACCGCTTTGCCAGACATGACATCATTGGCGAGGTCCGGTTGCCTCTCAGCAATGTTGACCTGCAGCACGTCATGGAGCAGTGGAATGAACTCGTCGCTGCCAGTAAGACTGAGGTCATTATCCAAAGCAAACCCTAGGGGAGAAGGTGCAGCATGTTGGGGGAAAAGGCAAACTAGACTCTTGGCAAACCATCCTGAGGATCTCCCCCCTGAAAGCATGGTTCCACTGCTTCAACTGGGCTATTCCTGCTAGGCTAAATTAGCATTGCCCTTACTTAACTGTGCAAAGAAGCTAGGTTTGCCTGCTGCCTCGGCTCAGATTACTATTCCAGAAAGAAGGGGCTATTCACTTGGGATTCCTTGCTTTGAGCAGAGGGGACCGGAAGTAAGAAAGGGCCCTGTCCTCAACTCACTAGCCAAAACGGGTACTAAGTCCTGATGAGGGTAATGAACTACTTTATGGCTGGCTGCATCCATGGAGTATGGACCATTTAGCTCACTCCTTCCCCAAAGAAGCAGGGAAAGTACATTTTATCTGGAGTATTCCCTAAAGGCAAATGGTGAGAATCTGTTTGACTGTGAAACTAGATTGGTTGCAACTTCAGCTGAGTTGGTTGGTTACATAAAGAGTACGGCTAACCCTCAGCACTGTGAAGTCACGAGTCAGACTGCCAAAGTGATAAAATTGATTTAACAAGAACCTAGCATTGGTTCTTCTTTTTTTTTTAAATCTCACAGTCTTTATTTATCCTCTATTTTTGTTGACCCTTCAAGACACACATTTTCATGGTTTCTCTCTAACCAGCAGAGCTAAAAAATTAATTTTCAAGGGTTGTCTTAATGAAAATGGAAATTTCACATACCCATGAGATAAAATCACAAGAGTGGGCAATACGATATAACTCACATAAAATTGTGATCTCTATTTGGATGATGTAAACCAGCATAGGGTAAATTGCAAATGTTGAAGATTGAAATCAAGTATCCACTCCAAATGTCATGCTTTGTGGGTTACTTGCTTCACTTATATGTCTTTTGTACTTGCAGTTACAAAATAAATATGTTACTAATGTGTAAATAACATCAATGAGGCATATCACTTACCAGGTGAATTAATGTTAGTATTATTGATAGTTCAAAATTAGTGAGCTACAAGCTAAAAAAGACAGACAAGATTCTTTGGATAAATGTGACATCTTTTATTAGACCAACTAAATAGTTGGAAAAATTGCAAAGAACAATTTTTCCAACTATTTAGCTGGTCTTATAAAAAATATCACATTTACCCAAAGAAACTTGTCTGCCTATGTCCTTAGACCAACACAACTACAACCAACAACCTTAAGGCTAAAAAAGGTTTTTTTTCCTAATAAAATGTATTAAAAATTTATAGTGACAAGACTGGACAATTGTAGGCAATTTGAAAATGAAAGTGATGACATTTTAGTGTGTCAGTGAGTCACTGAATTATTTATGCAGCCAAAAAAATACAATGTTGAGGAGTATGGTTAGAAAATTGCAATATTCACAAAATCATCAAAATTTCAATAACAAAATCTGATAACAAGTTTTAATTATTTTTAATGAAACCCTGGCTCTACTAGAGGCTCTACACCCATAATGGTGTGCCAGCAGGAGTTTCAGTGGCATAGGACAGGGATGGCCAACTTAAGGCACGTGTGGCAGAGGCAACCTTTGTTTGTGGCACACGGCGGACTGAGGAGAGGACAGGCAACACTATGGCAGATAGGGCAGAGAGCAGCGAATGAGGCAGGGAGCATAGGCCAGGGAGCAGAAAGGTGCAGGAAATTGGGCAGGGCTACAGAGGAGGAAACAGGAAGCAGAGCAGCCAGTTGGGCAGGGGAAGGGAATTAGGGTGATACTTGGGAAGGGAGTATGGCTCATTTGTGGCATGCTTGCTAAAAATGTTGGCCACACTAGCATAAGAGAGAAGAAGGAATGGCCTTCTGAACTTTTTCCCCCCCGGAGGAATCTCACGTTTTACTAGCTGTGCCTTCCGATGTGTGACCCTATAGCTACACACTAGAGCAGATCTCCAATACCAAGCCTGGGTTTGGCTGTACTGTATCTTCTGCACTGATCTTACTATCAGGCATTCATGACTCATTTAACTCCTGGATTTGTGTCTCCAACAGCAAGAGCACCTAGGTGAGATCTGTTTCTCGCTTCGATACGTCCCCACCACCAGCAAGTTAACTGTAGTGATCCTTGAGGCCAAGAAGCTAAAGAAGATGGACTCACATGGATTGACAGGTAAGAGGAAAGGGGCCACAGTGATTATGCCACGTGGACTCTGGGGGCCCAAGGTACAGAATGAAGGAAAAAGCATTGCCTGAAAAATTCCTATTAGACAGTTTCTCCTTTAAACCCAGGTCTCTGGGTTTAAAGGAGACCCTACGATGACAGGCTGAGAGCCCTGGGGCTCTTTAGCCTGAAAAAGCGCAGGCTCAGGGGTGATCTGATGGCCACCTACAAGTTTATCAGGGGTGACCACCAGTATCTGGGGGAACGTTTGTTCACCAGAGCGCCCCAAGGGATGACGAGGTCAAATGGTCACAAACTACTTCAAGATTGTTTCAGGCTGGACATAAGGAAGAATTTCTTTACTGTCCGAGCCCCCAAGGTCTGGAACAGCCTGCCACCGGAGGTGGTTCAAGCGCCTTCATTGAACACCTTCAAGATGAAACTGGATGCTCATCTTGCTGGGATCCTATGACCCCAGCTGACTTCCTGCCCTTTGGGCAGGGGGCTGGACTCGATGATCTTCCAAGGTCCCTTCCAGCCCTAATGTCTATGAAATCTATGAAATCTCTCTTCCCCAACAAAATTCTGGCTTGACTTCATTCCCATTGTTCTTCTGAAGCAATGGGACACAGAAAACAGAGATACAGGAAACCATGACAGTAAGAGTTCAGACTTTGCCCTTGATCATGAGAGGGAATTACTTTGCTGGTCTAGGTATACTTGCCAACATTCACACTCAATCTATTTACAGCACAGTTTGGCAGTTCCTGCAGTTCTTCTCAAAAGAAGGGACTTAGGGGAAACTCCAGTGTGTGGGGATGGGGGGAGCTTGTATTTGTAAGGCAAGATTTCACTGGAGAGCCCCCTATGTGTATCGGGATAGGAGCAATTCCACTGCATGTTCTCTCTGAAGAGCTAACTCTGTCATCCTTGTGCCTCTTATTTATCTTTTCTTCTTTCTGTCCCTTCTCCCCATTTCAACCACTGTAAGGAATAGCAGGAAAGGCTGAGAATCAGGAATCGCATGTATTGGCAAAGTTGTATGGAAGTCCAAGGCTAGAATTACAGGCAGTTACAGCACAGAAGAATGTATTGGCTGAATTGTCAGATGCACTGGGCTGGAAAAGCAGCGGCTGCTGTAGGTCAGGACTCCAATACATTGGCAAAGCTGTCTAGAGGCTGAATGCTAGCATAAAAATGGGTTCTGGAAATCAGGGCTGAAACGACTTGGCAGAGGTCTGTAGAGGCTAGGAGGTGAGCAAAATTCTGCACCTGAATGTCCTGTGAAGCCATTTTGTAAGTGAGCTTTGAAACCTTTGGATGGGCTTGTCCCGGGATGTAACAATAATTATATCTTCTGCTGCTTCCCTCATCCCCTGTTTTTCTCTCAGACCCCTATGTCAAAGTGCAGCTGATCCTGAACAAGAGGAAATGGAAGAAGAAGAAGACAAGTGTGAAGAAGAGCACTTTAAGCCCCTATTTCAACGAGGCATTTGTTTTTGATGTGCCTTTCAATCAGATCCAGGTAAGTTTTCCCAACCAGGGACAGCATTCAGTAGCAGGCACATGCTAATAAGAAAAAGCCCAGGTCACTGGCTAGGAAGTGGCTCCTATAGCATAGAGTGCTAATAAGGAGAGATTTAGCCCCACTGATGCCAGAGCTGTCCTAGTGACTTAGCCTTGCTCAGCTACTCTGTAAAAGTAAGGGGAGTAAAGTCTTGTTCCTTTCAGTGGCCTCCTTTGAAACATGCTATTAAAGACTGGAACTGGGGATGATGAAAAGGAATTGGGAGGGAACATCCCAGACCGGGCTCTGTCTCTTTATGATGAGAGCACAACATTCCCAGACCAACCAACCAAAACCCTAAGCCCTTATGGTTTCCAGGGGAAAAAGACAAAGCCCAAATAAAGTCTGTACTTATTTTCCAGAAGGGAAGTGAGGTGGTATCATGTCCTTTCCCATCTTGCCCACTGTCATTGTTTGCCTTCTTCCTCCTTTTCTATGTGGCAGCTGTGTGTGAGGCTAACAAGGCCAGATGCATTGGCTTCACCCTTCCCTATCTGACTCCTGCCACCCCACAGGCAGGCCCAGCCAACCTGGCAAGGGACCTGATGAGATCTTGTGAGCTGGGTAACCTAAGTCCTCATGGGCAGGAGTGATTTATACACACTGAAATGCCTCTAGTGCCATGCACCAGGCCAAGTAGATAGGCAGAGCTCCAGAGTCTCAATGCATGACTGAGATGATGGTGTAGGGAGGAGGGGTTTAGGTTTATTAGGAGCTGGGGGATCTTTTGGAACAGGGGGAACCTGTACAGGAGGGATGGACCCCACCTGGACCAAAATGACACCAAACTGGTGTCATGTAACATTAAAAAAGTGGAAGAGCAGATCTGAAACTAAACATTGGGGGCAAGCTGACAAGTGCAGAACAGCACACAGTTTGGATGGACACACCCTATAGGGGTGAAACCATAAACATGGGGATAAGAAACAGCGGGGGTGTGTGTGTGTGTGTGTGTGTGTGTGTGTGTGTGTGTGTGGTGGTGGGGGGGGGAGTGAGGGGAATGTGTGTGGTGGTGGTGGGGGTACTCAGGTGAAACACAGAGAAGACCAGCATGAACAAATAGATTTACTGATTAAAAGGTCACACACAAGTAGCCAACCAGGCAACAATAAAAAGTATAAGTGCTCTTATACTAATGCCAGAAGTTCCAGATCCAAAATGGGGGAACTTAAATGCTTAGCTAAATAACACTACTGACATAATAGGTATCTCAGAAACATGGTGGGATGAGGAAAATCAATGCATTGCTGTAATACCAGGATACAAATTATACAGGAATGATAGAATAGGTCATACTGGTGAGGGAGTGGGCCTGTACATCAAAGACTGCATTGAACCAAATAGGATAGATTTTTCAACTGATAAGACAGGTGCCTGAGAATTTCTGTTTCAACAGAAAAAAGTTGTTCTGGGGGTATACTATCAACCCAGGACAGCTGCAACAAACTAGAAATGCTAAGAGAGTTGAGAGAGGCAGTGGAAGCAGAAAACACAGTAATAATGGGAGATTTTAATTATCCAAAAATAGACTGGGTCAATCTGCCAGGATACAGAGACCAAACTTCTTGATATTATGAAAGACTGCATCCTGGAGCAGTTAGTGCTGAAACCTACAAGAGGAAAGGCCATTCTTGACCCATTCCTAAGTAGTGCACAGGATTTGGTGCAAAGGGGAAGTGTTACTAAGCCTCTCTGCAATAGTGATGACAATGTAATTGAGTTTGACATCCATGTAGGAGGAGAGATAAGAATAAAATCTACCACTGTAGCCTTTAACTTTAAAAAGGGAGTCTATACCAGAACGAGGAAGCTAGTTAGACAGAAATTAAAAGGGGATGAGACACAAAAAATAAAAAGAGTACTAACTCTGGGAAATTCAGGAGAAAGAATTTGAGGAGAAACTTGCTAGAGACATAAAAGCTAACAATAAAAATTTCTCTAATTACACTATAATCTGAAGACCTGCCAGGGAGTCGGTGAGCCCTTCCAAGATCAGGTTATAAAAGAGGTGATAAAGGATGATAGGGTCACTGAAGAAAAACTAAATGCATTCTTTGCATCTGTCTTCATTATGGAAGATGTTAGGAAGATCTCACCAGATCTACTCCTTTCAAGGGACAAGTCAGTGGAGCTGACCCAAATTGAGGTTTGAATACATTGTAGGTCAATAGGTCATAGAGGAAGCTGATAAACTAAAGAGCAGCAAATCGTCAGTACCTGGTGACATTCACCCTGGGGTCCTGAAAGAGCTCAGATTGGAATTTGCTAAACTCCTACAGCCTGTCACATTGGCAATCCTCCAGCTGCATACTCCTAACTATAGTATACAACTGGAGGATTGCCAATATGACTCCCATATGACTCTCTAAAGGGGATCCAAGGAACTACAGGATAATGAGTCTAATTTCTGTTCCTGGAAAACTGGTAGAGACAATAATAAAAAATAAGAATTGTTCAGCACAAGGATGAACATGACTTACTGGAGAGGAATCAACATGGCTTTGTCAAAGGGAAATCATACCTTAATAAACTACTATAGTTCTGCGAGGATGCAAGAAGCAGGCGGATCAGGATGATCCAATTGACAGAGTATATCTGGACTTCCAAAAAGCCTTTGACAAGGTCCCTTGTTGGAGGCTAATGAAGTTAGGTAGTCATAGGATCACAGGCAAAGCCCATTTGTGGATTAGAAGTTGGCTTAAAGATAGAAAAAAAAGTGAGTAGAAATAGTCAGTTTTTAGGATGGAAAGAAGCAAATAGTGGGGTCACCCAGGGATCTGTTTTGGAACCAGAGCTGTTTAACATAGTCATAAATTATCTGGAAGAGGGAGTGAGTCGCGAGATTGCCAAATTTGCAGACGACACAAAATTATTCAAATGAATAAAGATCAAGTTTATTAATGGACTGCAAGGAACTACAGAAGCATCTGGCACAATTGAAAGAATGGGCAACTAAATGGTAGATGAAATTCAATGCAGATAAAAGCAGTAATACACATGGGCAAACTATACCTACATTACGATGGGCTCTATCTAACTGTTACCACAGAGGAAAGAGATCTGGGAGTCATTGTGCACAGTTTGCTAAAAACATGAGCTCAGCACTTAGCATCCATAAAACAGCAAAAAATTTGTTATGAATTATTAAAAAGGGAATTATAAATGAAATAGAAAGTATCATTATGCCCCTTTCTGAATCTGTAGGGTATCAACACCTTGAACACTGTGTCCAGTCTAGGTCTCCACAAAGGATTATAGAAGAACTAGAGAAGGTATGGAGAAGGGCAACAAGGATGATTAGTGGTATGGAGGGGCCTCCATATGAGGAGAGACTAAAGAGGCTAGGCCTGTTAAGTTTAGAAAAGATCTGCTTGAGGGGGGACATCAGGGTTTACAAAATGCTAAATGGTGAAGAGAAAGTAAATAGGAATTTATTATTTACTGTCTCACAATACAAGAACTAGGGGTCATAATATGCAACTTGTAGGTAGTAAGTTTCAAAATACCAAAAGAAAGTTTTCACACAGTGTGTAATTAAAGTGTGGACTCATTACCACCAGATGTTGTGGAAACTGATAGTTTAGCCAAATTCAAAAAAGGGATTGGAGGAAAGGGGCATCAGTAGCTATTGTGCATGGGAGTTAGGGGTACAGTTTCTGAATCAGAACTTCCTGGATCTTAAATGGTAGAGGCTGCAGGTGGGAGAGGAACAGTGGAGAAAACTCTGACCATAGCCTATTCCTCCACCCTTTCAGTATCTACTCTCTGCCTGTGTGACACAAGAGAGTGGCAAGATGGACCTGTGGGTTGACCCAGTAAATGGCAGTTCTTATGTTATGGCCAGCCCCGAAGGAGAACAACCATTCTCCCTCCAGCTATGCCTGCTTTATTTTCTTTTTCTTTTTTTCCTTCCTACTCTCCTCTTCTGAATCCTTTTTCTCGCTCTTTCCTCACTGTCCTTGCTGCCTTTTGGCTCCCCATTCCCTCCATAGCCCTCTCTCCCTCACCAGTTCTATTTGTGCCCTCCCTACAGAACGTAGACTTGGTGATCGCAGTGTGGGATTATGACAAGGTGACCAAGAATGAACAGATTGGTAAGGTGTTCCTGGGCTGCAGAGCCACAGGCAATCATCTGCGCCACTGGTCAGACATGCTGGCTAATCCCCGCCGGCCCATCGCTCAGTGGCACAGCCTGCAGTCGGCAGAAGAAGTTGACAATGCCTTGGGGCTGAAAACCCACTTTAAGCTGCCTCTGCCCAGCCGATAAAAGGACCTCCTATCTTTCTCTCCACTTACTGTTCTGAAGGAACCTGGAACCATAGACATACTTGGATGAAAGGGGAGGGGTGCAGAAGGCTGGCAAGAAGTGCTTAAGCTATGGGCTGGGGTAGGGAGGGCTTTTCATCACAACAGTTTGGGTCAATCAACCATAGCAAAAATGTCAATGAGCAAGGGAACCAAGTTTTCCTTTGACCTCAGATCAGGTGGAGAGCTGGTAACCCACGCAACTGGCATGTGACAGCAACAGCAAACTGCAAAACCTACAGTGCACCCCCACTGTACCCACATGCTTGCTTCAGACAAATGGAGACAACAGCACAGAATGTTTTTCAGTCTTATATATTGGGGTTGGGGTACACAAGGGTCATGGAAAGTAGGGGGCTGGAAACAACCTGGCCTCTGCTTACAAGACACTGCAAAAGACATCTGAAACCATATGGAGACATGGGATGCGGAAATACACAGAGCTAAAATGAGTGCAATAACTGTGAGTCCTTGTCCATATTTTAAAATAATCTATCTTGAAGTTTAATTTATAGGCAGCACTGGGTGCTCTATTTACTTATAAAGAGTCACAGTGGTCCTTTCAGAGAAGCAAAGGTGGAAGAGACTTCAGGAGTTCATCTAGTTCAACCCCCTTCCTGGGTAAGGTCATCCCTGCCTAAACCACACCAGTCAAGCATCTGTCTAACTTGCACTTAAACATGTCCAAGGATGGAGATTCTGCAACTTTTCTGGGTATCCTGTTCCAGTGCTTAACCACCCTCAGAGTGAGAAAGTTCTCCCTAATGTCCAGCCTAAATTTTCCTTGCTGCAACTTAATTCCATTGTTCCTTGTCCTGTCCTCTGCAGCCACAGAGCATAGTCTATCTCCATCCTCTTTATACTTACCCCTCAGGTGTTTGAAGACTGTTATTTAATCCTCCGCTCCCTCCAATCTTTTCTTCTCCTGACCGCACAATCCCAGTTCTTCTGACCTCTCCTTGTAAGCCAGGCTTCCTAGACCTTTTGGTTAGTTTGGAGGGTAGATTAGTAGTGAGTACAAGCTTGCAGGCAGAGGTTGTGAAAGATTTTTACACAGGCCAAACATGCTGAAAAGCAGCTGACCAGGCAGAGAGCCCAGTGTCAAAAGAGGCTGCTCCTTAAACTTGAAGGAAGGAGAAAATGCCCTGCTGTGCTTTGGGCCTGCTGTGTGACCTGAGCAAGTCACTTTGTCTTTCTGTGCCTCACTGCCCTGCATGCCTTTGCAAAGGTATGATGAGTTTAATGAGTATAATGCAAAGGTATAATGCACACTGGCTATGGGGGCTCTATAAGCAGAGTGACCTCCTGACAGAGAGCAGATTTAAGCTAGATATCAGGAAAAACGTCATGGTAAGGATGGCCAAAATTTGGAATGAGTTTTCAAGGAAAGTGCTCTCCCTTACCTTGGGGGTCTTTAAGAGAAGGCTGGACATGCACCTGGCGGGGGTCATCTGACAGCAGGACTCTTTCCTGCCCAGGGCAGGGGGTCAGACTCGATGATCTGTTGAGGTCCCTTCTGATCCTAGCATCTATGAATCTATGAAACGTGCAGGGTGAAAGTCATGGACAATGGGGATGGGGGCTTGGCTGTGTTATTGCTGAGGTGAGATGGAATCTGTAGGGGGATGCACAATGAGAATCACTGAGAGATTAGAGGGAACCCTACTTCAGAGTATGCTGGGATTGCTACCAGGATGCAGCCTCTGCTTTAAAAAGAAACAAAACAAAAAACCCAAAAAACCAAAACAGCTCTTACAGGATTTTTCAGAGGCATAACTGGGCAGTTCTGTGCCCTGGGCACTGGTGCACTTGGTGGGCCATCTGTGGTAGTATGGCACCTGGGAGACCAGTGGTGGCAGCTGCTAGTTTTGCAGTCCCCAGGTTGGTGACTGCAGCTAGTGCCTCAGTTGCCCCCACCCCCTTAATTACACTACTAGGATCTGCTGACTGTACACTGTGTTGCTGTAGCCTTTTGTTTACCCTGTACCTGCTCCATTCATGGTCTGTATTAGTGCAGCTTAAACTGTGCACTTTCCAGGGGGAGGATGTTGCATTTTCATTCATTCCTGTCACGTGAGGTTATTGCACCATGCCTATGTTTATCATTCAGGACAGAGCTCAGTAGCGTCTGTCTTGATGGATAATTAAGGAAAGGGGACACAAGGTGGCTTATCCCCTCTGCACTCTGTGGACAGGTTCCAAACTCCATCTCCAGTCCTGTGCCCAAGGTGGGCTGCACTAACTCTGGGGAATTTGAGCCAGATTCTGCAAAACAGGATTCACGCATTGCAGCCTGTTACAGGCAGCATCAGTGTTTTAATCTGTCCTCACACTGCCTTCCTGTGGGAGGAAACAGGGGGAAATAGAAAAAGCCAAAAGGTGTGACATATTCAAAATAAAATCAGTTTGAGACTGAATTTTTAGCCACATTTATTTATTTTTAAAGGGAGAGTAAAAAGACTTGGAAATAAAATATTGCATTTAACCCAGAATGGCCTTTCTTCAGGTTTTCTGTTTTGATGAGGAAAACACCTGAAGCTTTTTCAGTTTCTGCCAAAATGAACTTGTTATTTTTTAACCCTGCAGTTCATCAGCTGAACTAACAGCTCAGTTAATTGCAAAGCTCTCCTCTCATCTGCTTCCCCAAAATCTCTGTTGGCCTTGTTTACACTGAAGGATTTCATTTCAACCGCAGTGTCTAAAGAGCAGGTTATTGGTATCTGGCCTAGGGACCAAAGTTACACGTACACTGGTGTAAATGATCAGAAACTGGTTCTAATCTGTGGCACAACAGAAGTTCAGTGCACATAAACCAGTTTAAAAATGGCCAAAACCAGTTTAATATGAATCTGGATGGTTTTAGTATCAGACTTAACTGATTTAGGTTAAATCAGTTTATTGAACTTCTATTCCAAATTCCCTCCAGATTCAAGTTAACTCACAGTCCCCCAGTATCCCAGCATGCTTTGCATGTCCCCCGCAAACTCCATCCCCTTGCAGGGTGGGTGGGCAAGCCTTGGCCCAAGCTGTCTCAGCTGAGCAGGGAGGCATACTCTAATGCTCCTCAGCTTCTGACCTGGGCCATTGCAGGCATGTGGCTACACTTCTGGAATCAAAAGTGAATGTCTGTTCACTTGCATATTGGTTCAATCTACACAACTTAGACTAACCTGCAAAGATTGAATTGGTTAAGCCTCATGCTTTTTGACTGTCTATACTTACCCTTGAAGGTGGAATGGCTACCACAGTGCTTCAAGCACAGGGACACGGGCACAGGAGTGTTTTTAATTGGCATTTCCAGGAGGCAGTGCTCTTCAAGGGTTCCTTGTTTAGAGGTAGTCATTAAGCTAGCTTTCCACCGATGCTACTTGGCATCTATACCTGCTTTTGCCAGATTGGGCTTCTCTTGGCAGAGCCAATGCTAGATAAAGGAAGAACGAGATTTAGAAGGGACTGTGTGTGTCAAACTGCATACTGGAAAATACTGTGGAGTACCCTTTTTAATGCTGTTATGTGCAGTATCCAGTGCAATGGGGCTCCCAGCTTGATTGGGCTCTGTAAGTGCTACCAGAATACAAATAATTATTTCTATTTAAAAAATACCCTGGAAAAACTATCTGTGCTGCAGAGCATCACAAACCAAGATGCCAAAGTGGTTTCCCCTGTTGTTTTTGCTGCAAAGAAACAGTGCTGGACGAAATTCACCCCTGGTGCAGCTCCATTGATTTCATTGGAATTATGCTAGGGATGGAAGGAGCTCTGATTATATCCAAGTGATTCAAATGCATAAATCAATGAGATTTTTTTCTTAGAACCTTCCCCTCCAACCATTTTAGGTGTTTGATTGTTAACAAAGTGCAGGCATTATCAGATCTGTAGATGAGAAGGAGAGAGAATTTGAGAGAACCATGAAAACTCATTTCCTCCTTTACTGTCCTATCATGTAATAAGAGGAGAGCATTCTAGGCCAGATTCCTACCTGGACTTATCTGCAGTAACATCAGCTGGTGGAAGGACTAGTCTGTTGAGGTTTGCCTACAGCAGCTGTTGACATTGCCGCATGCTTGACTCCAGGTTTTTGCAATCTGCTGTCAAATGTTGCAGCAGAGGAAACACAGATCATTGCATGGGAAGCTGTCTTCCAAGACAAAGCACAGGATCTGAAGAAGCCTTTGGAGACTGCAGAAACACACCAGCATTCATGTCACTGGCATTTGTACCTGTGCCAGCATCCCTATTGCAACAGGAAAGCAGCCTTTGATTTGCTTGTGGTAATCTGTCACTGTGGCCTGTGAAACCAGTGCACTCTTGGCTCTGTGTGGGTAACAGCCTTTCCAGGAAGGACTTCACAATAGCAGTGCAAAGTCAGAGCTGTCCTTGAATTGTTCAAATTGGCATGAGAGGTAGGAAGGGCTTAAAACCATCCTACATGTAGCATTCTGCATCCCTCTTGTCTCCAAGCAGACTCAGTCCTCTGGTGACTTGTGTAATTCTGCCAGGTTTTTTAATACCATGGTGATGGGTACAGAGTAAGATCCTAAGTAGAAGAGAAATGGCGAGTGGCTGGCTTTAGCCAAAAGAAGAGGCCAAATATGGCATGGGCTTCCAAGGGAGGTGATGCTCTCCCCTACCTTGTGGGTCTTCAAGAGGAGACTGGACAAGCACCTACCTGGGGTCATCTGACCCCAGCGCTCTTTACTCTTTCCTGCTCAGGGGGTCAGACTCAATGACCTACTGAGGTCCCTTTCGACCCTAACATCTATGAATCTATGAATTACTAACTATTAATGAGAACGTTTGTATGGAGGGACCACATTAGCAAAAGCAGGCTTCATGCTTACTCCAGTCTCTACCAGAAGCAGGTTCAACTGAATTCTGTACACTCTGGCCTCGCGCACTTTTCTTTTGCTGCATTAAGGATCAAGTTTGAGGGTTGGCTTGGAAATTGCTACAGTAGCTGAACATCCCCTGAGGATATCCTGTGATCCTTTAGGGCATTGATATTGCCTTCTGTTGTCAGACC